GTCGGAGGACGGGGAGAGACCCCGAGACCCCCGGGGCACGAAGTTCCGAGCTAGCGGGTAAGCGGGAAGGTGGCAGGGGAGGGCCGGGGCCACGGAGGGAGGAAGGGAGGGGGAAGGAGAGGGGGGAACTCGGGACTCGAGCGAGGAGGGAGTGGAAGTGGAGGAAAGGGCGGAGACTGGGGCGCGGGGGACCGAGGACTAGGGGAGATGGATGGGGAGATGAACGGAGTGCTGGTCGGAAGCCAGGGTTCCGGGGTCCGCTTCCTAGAGTTCCCTGAAGCCAGGGTGCCTCGCCCCCTGCCACCAGGAGGGGGTAGTCTCGGAGGCGCCGCCGGCCCTCCCACTCCTGGGCGGGCTCCAGACCACCCCCCCACACCCGGCGACCTCCCCAGCACTTGCCCCTCAGTCTCGTCCCGGGTACCAGCTTAGGGGGTGCCTGGGACCTCCGCCCCCATCTCTAGATTGAGAGGCGGAGCCGGGAAAGGGAGGTATTGGGTCGGGTCAGGACAAGGGGTCAAGCAGAAGAGGGAGCAGCTGGGTGGGGATGGGCAAGACTGTCCCGGAGAGTTGGACCTGACTGGGGGAGGGCGGCTTGTCTGGGTGTGGGGGGCCGCGCTCTTAGAAACCCGGGTTCCACTTTGTCGCCCCTCCTCTCGCCAGCCAGCTCCACATCGAACAGTTGTGGAATGTACGAACTCACTCGGGGAGTGGCTAATGCCCAAGTGGGGGTCCGGGATGCTAATCCCTTGGGCAAGGGGAGAGATGCTAATCCTCCGGGCCGGTCGGGGCTGGTCCCGGGAATGTGTCCCCACCCGGATTATCGGCACCGATGCTCTGGACAGAAGCTGCTTTGTGTTCTGGGACAGCGGGGGAGGGGCGGGGGGCGTGGGCAGAGGAAGGAGGGGTGGCGGAGGAGCACCCAGGGCACAGCGGGAGGTGTGAGTGGGCACCTTGGAGTGCTCAGGACAGACTCTCCCACAGCCGGGGTCGTCCTGAGCAGCCCTGTCCCACACCAGCTGCCCAGGCTGAAGGCCTGAGGGGGAGCTGAGAGCCCTGGCTGAGTCGGAAGGCCTCCCAGGAATGTGCCACCCAGGACCCCCACCCTGGCTGACCTGGGGCCTATGTTGTTGACCCTACACTGACCTTCACCCCCAGCCCTATGTTGGCCAACCCTGACCCCCAACTGCACACTGAGGGGCTGCGGATTGTCACCTTCCATGAGCCTGAGTGTCCTGCTGCGAGCTTGCCCCACTAGCAGTGGCTTCCATCTCCTCTGCCCCCACAGCAGTCTCCTCTCCCAACTTCCCTTCAGTCACAGTCAGGAGGGTGGCAGCCCTGCCACTCAGATTTTCCTGGTCCCGGGCTAGGAGGGGGAAGGATCTGGACTGCCCCCCCAGGGCAGAACCTCTGGGTTTCTGAGTCCACCCCCTCCTAGCGTCACGTGCCCCTCCCCCATTATAAAGCCCTGCCTAGCCAGTGCCCACTCTGTCCCTTCCTTCCTCCCTCCCACTGAGTGAGTGGCGTTGGGCTTCTCCCCTCCGCAGACCTGGGTCAGCGGGAAGGGGGGGATCTCCTGGCCTGACCTGGGGAGGAGGCACCCCTTCTCTGCAGCGCCCCCCACACCCCTTTGGGTGCCTCCCAGAGGCCCACCACCTCAGCAGGGTTCCTGTTTCTGCCTGGCCCTGCCCGCCCCCTCTCCTCTTTCCCGCTCCCTCCCTGGCTGTCGCTGTCTCCGATCAGGCCTTGACTCCTCTCCCCCGTGTGTGGCAGCCTCTCCCACTTTCCGCCTTCTCCTCGCTTGGCCCTTTGTGGCCTCCTGAGCCTCAACCCTCTCCTCTCTCTCTCTTTGTTCTTCTCTTTTCTTCCTATAAATAACTCTCCTCTTTGCTCTTGCTGCCTCTAAGGGCCACTCTAAGGCCCTCGTAAGTCTAGGAGGATCCTGAGCCTAGCGAGCCCGGGACCCACCTGCGGAGGGAGGGCAGGGGCCTCCGCTCCTTCCCTGGGCTGGGCGCAGGGTGCTGGGCCTGGGGCGCCCTGCCGAGCCGCAGACGGTGATTGGTGCTCTCCTTCACCTAGGTTATGCCTCCGCCCTGTTGCCCTGAAAGCCGCAGCGACAGTGAAAAGGGCTAAGATCTGGCCATGAGCAGCGCCCCCCGGCGCCCCGCCTCGGGCGCAGATTCTTTCCTCTCTGTGAGTATGGCCTGCGCGGTCAGCTGGGCCGGCCCAGCCACAGGTGCCTTGGCTGGGGGTCCACGCAGACCAGGGGCGCGCGTGTATGTGCATGTACGTTTGTAAGCTGGGATTGGAAGCCTGTAATGGAGTAGGAGGGGTGCTGCCATCGGTACTGGACCTGGCACGGGGTGGGCAGGTGGAGGCCGTGGAGAGGGAGTGCGCCTAATGGGTGGGGTCAGGCGACTGGAGGCGCGGCCCTCCTGAGGGAGTTGCATTGCATTTCCTGCAGCCTGGGGTGGTAGTTCAGCCTCCGCCGGAGAGGAGCTCTGAGGCACTTGGGTCTCTAACCGGTGACGGCTGCCCCAGCCTCCAGGCGGAGAGGTCCCTCATGCAGTGGTTCTGGGCCAGTTCTCAGGCTGCGGCTGGGCCCGCCCAGCCACACGTGCTACCCAGGCCCGCCCCTGCCGCCCACGTGGCCACCGCCCCACAGGCCCCCTCCGGATTTTCCTGAGAAGTCTAATGATTAACCCCGGGGTGCCACAATCAGCCCCGTTTATTGGTCACTTGGGCCTGTGGGGCACGTGACGAGGCCAGTCCCCTCCCCCTTCTTCCCGGGTTCACCCCTGCCGGTCATGGACTTCCTCCTGCGGCCTCAGGTGCGAGGGGTCCGGGCCCCCTCCCCCATCCCGGGCTAGCTTTCTGTGCTCGCTCCCCACCCCTTCCTCCTAAGGGGCTGCTTCTGGTGGGAGTGGGGCTGAGCAAGAACAGGGCAAGGCTGCCTGCCGAGAGAAGCCCGGCCCCAACCCAGGCATCTTCTAGTGTCCCACGTCCCCGGCAGGCCTTGCAGCTCTGCACCCCAGCCCCATGCTTCCCAGGACCCGCCCTTCATCCCGGGTGTCCTCCCCTCCCTCGGCATTGCCATGGTGGGGCTGCATACCCCCGCCCTTGGAGGTCCCGATGCCCTTCAGGTCCAGAAGCTCTTGAGCAAATATTTGGCGGTGCCTGGAGCTGAGACCCGCAGGGGGTGGGTGGGGGTGGACCCAGGCTACCCGCTGGCCTGCGGCCGCTGTGCTGGA